ACCAGACAATCCCAAATCTGAGGAGAACAATCCCGATTGGCTTTTTCCCTCTTGGCATTGCACCAAAACAGTGAACTAATGGATGAGATCAGGGACAAAAAAGGGAGAGGAGACCAGCACTGGGACACAAAGAAGGAGTTTTGGGCTATGGTTGCTGTCTAGAAAATCTCTTTCACACATTGTGAGCAAGACAAAATCCAGGAGAAGGTGTGACACTTTCCACTAATCCCACTGCAGGAATATTTTGTCTTTGTGCAAGGAAAAGCAATGTCACAGCAAAACCTTCTGGATGGTGCTAAGGAAGAAGTCCTTGTGATGAAAAACTATTATCAACACAAAGTTTTTCCGTCATAAAAGGTGGTTTGACTCCCAGCATCCTCAGTCAGGAGAAACAAATCCTTACAGCCTGAGGCAAAGGCTTTTGTCTCATGACACCCAAAGGGTGTTGAGACTGCCCTGAGTAGCTCCACTCTGTCAAACTGGACATGGAGTAACCACCCTTAGACATGGAAAACCATTTCTGGAGTGGACCAATGCAGGAGAGGTGGCAGACAGCACAGACTGAAAGCTGGAGACTGAACAGATTCCCAAATAATTCTCATGAAATGCAGGAAGTCTGGACACAAAGTATTTATTGCAAGTTGTGACAAGAGCTGACCAAATGAGCTTGGAAGTTGCTGCCTGGTATGTTTTCTACTCTGGACTCGATCGGATTTTTAATGGCAAAACCAGTTGGCTGAAAACTGCCAATACAAGTTCATTTCCCTAGACTAGAACAGAAAAAGCCGCTTGATAGTGTGGTCACACATTGTTATATTCCACAGACCTTTTGTACCAGGCCATCAGAGCCACAACTTTGGGGAAATTTGAGGTGACCACAGGAAGGGCAAGAGAAATTACAGATAAAGGGAGAACAGACAAATAAAAGAAGATGGTCTTAGATTAGCACAGGATCAGCTGAGGTCAGATTTCAGCTGGGTATTCAAAATGAAATAGAAGAAATTCCTCTGCTCTTTATAGAAAATGTATCTAGAACAGAAACTGAAGAATGGAGAAACACAGAAGATTTTTCCAGGAGTGGAATGTGATTTCCACCTAACAGGAGTATAAAGAAAGAATCTGGCAGGGGCAAATTGAGGGCAGGATGTCTCTACCCTTGTAGCAAAGTTACAGGCTCTTTACAGCTCTGAGACCTTCAGGATATTAAAGACTTATGCTGTGTAACCAGCAAGCATGCACTTCTTAAATTTAAAGTTAGCACGACTCTCATGAGCCCTAACACAATAGAATTATTAAGATAAAGTTTTATCCTCATATTCTAGTTAATAGCTTTATTTTTTTCCTTGTTTATCAGGTTTAGAGTGCTCTTGATAAGCCTGAGAAAGAAGCATAAAAGAAATCTGAAAGAAGAAAGAAATATCCACCCCTTCAGCTCAAAGATATTGTGCAGAGACATTGCATGACCACAATTCAGAAGTGCGGGAGCAATTTCCTAGGAAAGGGATTTGTGTCCTGCTTTGTGCCTGGAAAGAAATGTCCACGGTAGAGATTACATGATGAGTGCCAAAATACATTCACATTTCTAGATTACCTTTAACAACCATGCAGAAGATTTCGGGTAAAAGCAAATATCAAGGAGTAGGTCTGAAAACTTACCTAAGTTCAGCATTCAAGTACCTTTCTCCAAAACCATGATTGTAAGATTATTTCATGCTGTTTCAATGTGACATTTATATTTCACCTCCACAACCAGGAGTAACTTAACACAGACAGCAAGTTTAGAAATAATTTTTCATCAAAATACAACTAAAGTGAAGAAACTGATGCTGATGAGCCTCCTAGGTTTGTGACCATGCAAAAGTAATACATGTCAGACGACATTAAAATGAAATCAAAACTGGACCTGGTTGGTGGTTAATACACATTCAGCAAGGACAGTAATTTCCATCTCACAGATGAAATCCCGTTTTAGTTTAATTTGTTACAAAACCCACATTAACTCAACGAAGTCTCTCTCAAGGTTATTTGATTTCAGCATGTGGAAAACAATTACCCAAACCTGGTCAAATTAAATCATTACACAAAAAACCCCCCATCAATAGCGATAAAATTCCTGCATCAACTTAATGATGTCTCATTGGCAAATGTACAATTTGGAGGAGAAGGAATCTTACCTTAGGCAGTGGTTTCTTCTTAGCACAGTTGATCCCCCCAACAAAGACCATGTTGGGCATCACTGGCCTGACGTACTCAAACACAAAGTCAAACCTCAGGATCCAAATTGCAGCAGAGTCCACGAGGTCCGTGAGGGACACATCCCTCTGAAGAACTTCTGAGGAAAGCTTAAGGGTTTCTGCATAGTTACCGTTGCAGTAGTCAAGCTCCAGGAGGGAAATCAGAGCATTTTCCACCCGCTGGAAAAATGTCATCTGGTCTGAGTTGAAGCTGAAGAGTCTGGGGATGTAGGACAGAGGGCTTGGGCTCTGTGGGGCTGAAAAGTGCAGGTTGCAAGGGAATCCCCTCATGAAGAACACAAAGGGAAGGGAGAGATGGTGGGCGAGGATGGTGCCACACATGAAGATTGGATCTGTCAGGATGGCATCAAAGCGGCTTTGGTTGAGGAACCTCAGGGTCTCCTGGCTGCGGAACAGGTCCTTGCACTGCCCAAGGAAGGTGTTGAAAACGTCCACCGAGGCCTTGTACACCCCAAGGGCATTGAGGGGGAAAGGCTTCTTCGTCAGGTGCACAGAGATATATTCCTCGAAGGCATTATCCAGTTCTTCCAGGGTCTGCCTCACCGGGTATGTGACCACCTTGTAGGCTTGCGTTGTCTTCATCTGCCAGCTCACCTCAGGAACCAGCACCACCACCTCGTGTCCTCTCTGGCTCAGCTTCTCCACCACCTCCTGCATGCTCAGCCAGTGGCTTCCCACCATGGGCACCACCAGGAGCTTCCCTCCGTCGGAGAGGCCGGGCAGGAGGAGGACGATGGAAATCCAGGCACAGCAAAGCCTCAAAGCCATGCTGCTGTGGTAGGAGTAGGGGCTGTGGAAGAGATTTCTCCTGCAGCTTGTAGCCTGAAGGTGCTTTGGAAAGCAACTGATGGGGGGATTTATTGCATTTTTGTATGTGATAATCCTTTAGTTAATGATTCACAGCTCTGGATTGTGGATTGTTTATTTTGCCTTTTCCCTCCTTTCTTGGAAAGGAAAGGTTGGACAAGTTTGGTGACCCTTCCACTGCTGAGTCACCGGTGTTCTTCGGTGTTCAATGAGCTCCTCAAGCTGCTACTTCAATCCTTCAGGAGTCCTCATCTTTGTTGTGTCCTGTGTTACACCTTGGCCAGGACCCACGGAGGCAACCTTAGTCTGATTAGTTCCCATCCCCACAGTAACAAATGAAAACAGCCTCTCCATCTTGGAGACACAGATCCTCAGGTGTTTCCTCCAGGGATGGAGAAGGAGACCCACAGGACAAGGCTCAGGACTCTTCTGAGCCGGCAGGAATCTCCTCAGTGCCAGGAACACCACAAGGAGGGGCTGAGAGAGGCTGACTTCTCTCTGTATAGCCCAAGATCTCACTTTACAGAGCTGTTTCCCAGCTTGGGAAGTGGCTTTCAGGTAGCTGAAAACTCCTGCCCACCAGATACCTGACCAGCACTAAATGTGTTTTAGCAACCACAGGAGCCTCAGGTTTCAGACCTGACTCGGCAAAGAGCACTTTCAGTCCAGACGTGATTTCCCCAGCCTCACAGCATTGCCATGGATGCCAAAATTAAAAATAGTGCACCCCAGGATATTCAGAGCCATACAGCCTCCATCCCTCAGGCACACAACTTCTCTCATCTCCCTTCATACCACAGTTCATGCAGCAAAATGAACTGCATATTGTTTTCCTCAGACCAGCCTAATTTCCTTTTCCTGTTTTACCAATGTCTAATTATTTCTACTGGGAAGGTGGCAGAGAGCAGATATGTATCAGGATGGCTTTTCAGAAAATAAAGCTTTTGAGTGTCAGTGGAGGGGGGAGAAGCTCTGATGTGAAAAAGACCAAAATCCTGTCTAAATTTTCCACTATAAATCACAAAGAAAAAACATCACAAGTATAGATAAAATACAGAGTTTTATAAAGCACACTTGGAACTGGGCATTGGGAAACTGACCAGTTTAGCAAACAGCATTTTCTCACAAAAAACAAAAAGGTTAATTTATGTATCCTATGATGGCACCCCAGCTGTTTGCTGAAGTGGGATAAGGAGAAGGCTGGCAGCGAAATGCCCTGTCTCCCCTTCCTGCTGCAGGATGAATTTTGCATCCAAACCTTCAGCGTGAGGAGTGGGTGCAAAGGCAATCCTAGGACAGGTGAAGTTAATCAGTACCTCAGTGTTTGTGAACTTGTCAAAGGCTCCCTCGGTTGGCTGGATTATCCCAGGTTATCCTAGCCAGGAATTCTGGAATTGGCTGAGTTCAAGGCAGGCCAAGATCAAAGTCGCTCCCTGCTCCCAGGAGAGCAAAGGGACAGTGGCAAGCGTGGATTTGGGTAAAAAGTCACAAATTTGGGGGCAGGCCTGTCCAGAGCTGGGGCAGGGGTTAAAAAGTCTCCAGAGCTGAGGGAACTGGGAGTGTTTATGGAGACAAGGTGGCTTAGGGAGGCCTTTGCCACTCTCTACGACTCCCTGACAGGACGTGGTTTGGGATCAGGCTGTGTTGCTGTGTCTCAAGGGAAAGGATGAGAGGAAATGGCCTCAAGTTGCGCCAGGGGAGGTTCAGAGTGAGTATCAGAGAAAAAAAATAATTCTCTGGAAGAATGGTTAAGCACTTGGAATAATTTTCCCAGGGAGGTGGTGGAGTTGCCGTCTCTGGAAGTTTCCAAGAGGAGTCTGGATGTGACACTTAGGGACGTGGTTTTGTGGTGATGATGGCAGTGCTGGCGTGAGGCTGGGACTGGGTGATCCTGGAAGTCTTTTTCAAGCTTGATGGTTCTGTCAGGTGCAGGCTGGGCCATTCCAGGCTCAGAAGGGAATTATTAGGGGAGCTACAACGCACCGGCCAAGGCTGGAATACTTCCATGACTGGACATCCCAAAATACCTCTTCTAAATCCATGAACAGAGATCCCCAAACCCCTCTAATAAATCCATAGCATGAGATGCCAAAGCCCTCTAAAATATCCAGAGTTCCCAAAACCCCTCTAATAACTTCATGACAATAGATCCCTAAGGTAGCCTAATCGATTCATTAAGATGGTCCCCAAACACCTCAAATAAATCTACAACATGAAGTCCCAAAATCATTTAATAAACTCATGGCAGGAGATCCCAAACGCTGTAGTAAATACACAACACAAAACAATTGTTTATTTGGAAGAGGGAGCCGGTCTTTATAGAATCTAGGATGGTTTGTGTTGGAAGAGACCCTAAAGTTCATCCCATTCCACCCTGTGCCATGAGCAGAGACACATCCAATCCAAGGTTGCTCCATGCCCCATCCAATAAATCCAACCTGGGCATGAACACTTCCAGGGGTGGGGCAGCCACAGCTTCTCTAGGCAACATGTGTCAGTACCCTGCCATTCTCACAGGGAAGAAATTCTTGCCAATATCCTGTTTTATCCTTTCCTCTGGCAGTTTAAAGCCATTCCCCCTGTACCATCACTTCAGGCTCTTGTAAACAGTCTCCCTCCAAGAGAGAGATAAGATACGTCCCTATCAAATACCTCATTTGTGCTATAAATACATACTATGGTATTGGCTTTTTGCAAGTATTAGGGTGGGTACTATATGTGTGGTGTTGAAATGGTTTTTAAGATGTAGTTTTCTTTAGGAGTAACGGAGGCTGATAAAGTGTCTTTGTAGTACGTGAATTACCAGCTTGGTTGTATAACACTCAGTGAAGGCACCTGCTACTGATATACCACCTACCAGCACCAACTGTCCGTAGAAATTGAAGACCAAAGCCCAAATCAAGACTGATAAGAAAAATAAATTAAAACCACAGCCAAGAAACACACATGTTCTAAAAAGACAGACTCAAGGAGTGGCCAGGTAAAATACTTCTTGGAATATGGAATACGGAAAATATTTTGTAAGATAATAGAAAATATTTTATGGAAAATTAGAAAATGTATGATAGGTCTATGAATATGCAATGGGTTGATGATTTTAAGGGGCATCTCCAAAACAGCAGGTGTGCTCTTTGGTGAATGCCAAGCACCCGGCCATTGTAACTTTTTGCTTTGTTGTTTGTCTCTTATTGTCTTTTATAAAACTTTTTAAAATCCACCAGGTGTGGAACACATATTGAGAAAGTAAGAAAATTACAGCCTGAAAAATATTCCAGGTTGGGGCTTTTCAGCTCTGTTCCCAGCTGATAAGCTGGTCCAGCTCAAGGCTAGGAAGAATTTCTCCCAAGGTGATAATTTGGTCAAAATAAAAAGGAATTAATAACAAAGATAGAACACCTGTTGTGGTGTGTGCCCAGGTCCTGGCAATGGGGTGTCTTCTCTCTGAACCAATCACCTTTTCTCTACTCTTGGAATTGCGAGTCATGCTATAAAACCAAGTGTGTTTCTGAATAAACTTGTCTCTTTTTTCCTGTCATGAAAGACGACCATGTAGCTGTGCATCTTATTTCCGCCACACTTAAAGGGTTAAAAACCCTTTCCACGGCTACACCAGGAAAGTGAGCCTCATTTTTCACGATTTGGGGCCTCACCTCTGAGTCCACCGGGAGATCCCAAGCAGGGGAGGCGAGTTCGGCGGGCCCTGCTCCGTTTCTTCTGGTGTGAGTCAGCGGTTTGCAGATAAATATCCTGTGGATAAGGAGGAGACAAACAAAGCAAAGGAAAGGGAAAAGGCTCCCTAAACCGTGGAATTTAGCTCCACAATTCTTGTGCACGAAGACCCGGAGAAGAAAAGGGAATTGTAAGAACTCTTCGTAGGGGGGCGGTCACGGGGAAGTGAATGGTGTGTGGATGAGACGCAGACTGGTTATCCCAGATGTGCGAAGCAATTGGGAGTCTCTGAGAGCTCCCATTCCATTCTTGTGCAAGAAAAAAAGGCAGCGAGAGACAAAAGGAGGGAGAGAGACCCCCCAGGGTAACTGGGGTGGGATCCCAGGGGAGGGGTTGGAGCCCTTGAAGAAAGGGAGCCGAGGGTTTCCTAGCACAATCCACTGGGAAACGGGACAAAAGGAGGAGGACCGCCTAAAATTTTGCCAAATTGAGGATTAATCCAAGAAACCTGGACTCAAAAGCTGCCAAGTTGAGGACTTGAGAGGAATGTTGAATTTGTCTTTACAAATGAGCTGTGGATCTGCTTGTTAGATAAGGCTAGCACTGAGAGATAAAAGAAATAATGGGATGGATTCCACTGATTGATGAATGGAAAAAGATATTTGCCTTTACAAACAAACTGTAAGGCTGCTGATAAATGAAATTGGATATCGAAAGATGAAAGAAGCAA